GAGCATATCTGCACCTGCACTGTTGCACGGCGCCTCTTTTGCTTTGTTTTACCTCGAGTAGTTGGCTGAGCGATGAGCGTCGAGCGAAGCCCATTTCTTGACTGACCGAAAAAGTTTCATTTTGTTTGTTTGTTTGCACGATAACTTGAGAAGGAATTGAGATAGCGATCTGGGAATTTCAGGGCCTTTTTGCATATCATAAAAAGACAGGTTGAGTTCGAAGATGAGCATTCTAGTTCAAAAATTGACTTTAAAAATAATCAAAACCCACAGGTCGCAAAAAATGTATTTTTATCGAACATCCGTTTTGCTCTATCGTATACCGTTTTGGGTGCTAGCGGGCATTTCTTGACGAAAATAAGGTGAAAATGACAAAATGGCCTATTAAATCGTAAAAAAGGCTTCAAATCGATAAATTCTACCGGAAGTAAAACTTAAACCATACATCTGGCGTTGAACGCCCTCCTTTGGGCTCGGAAGTTGTGTGTACCGATACTGGTTTACGAAGAATTGCTTCGTTGCAAAGAATTTGGTCTTTAGGCTACGAACCACTGATTTTTAATACAGATAATCTCTTCTTCATACAGTGATGCTTTGTAGGAAATTGTCTTTTGAAACAAGAGGATATATTATTAGAACGAACTAATGGTTTATTAGAAAGCTGTAAGAACACTTCATTTTCGCTGTCCTATTACTAAACATGCTCAAACCACTCCTTGTGCCCTACAATACACCGAAAGCCCAACTGTGTGAATGTTTGTAGGCGTGTTAACGACATTCGTAATCACGGAGGCACAAGTGTGGGAATCGCAAAGGAAAATTCACACATTTACTCCGATAGGTCATTCACACGCCTACAAGTGTGCAACATTCACACACTTGCGTTTACAGTGTGCGTTTCGTTCCAAAATAATTTGCGTTACATTTCTTTAGTAACGAAAACTCAGTAGTAGCCACTCGTTTGGGTTAATATGTCCTCCCGCTCAAAAGATAATTCCGAAAAGGTCAAAATAATTTCGGCGCGTAGTTTAGACCATTGAGA